CTTGTAAACTCTTCTCGGATCTATTATGCCTTGGTGCGAAAGCCTTCTGATGAGAGTTCATTATGGTCATCTGTGTGCTGCAGCAGTACGTGGCCAGGGCTGCTGACAGGGCAGGAGGTGGGGCACGAGAGATGGCAAGTGCACTTGACAGAGCCCCTCAGGGTGGAGGCTCATGTGGCTTCCTGAGCAGAGGTGGCTGTGTAGGGCTCCAGCAGCCATCTGCAGGCAGCCCATAGGACTGACTGCTTAACTAAATGGCAGTTAACTAATGGCTGCCCCTTTAGAAAACCGAGGCCACTTTGATCAGGGGAGGTGGGTGTGTGGGACAAAACAAAACAGCTGTGCAGTCACTGGGGTCAAATCAGATCTTGCCTTCTATAGCAGAGAACAGTCTTTGTGTAAGTCATCCTGGTTCTGTGAAGTGATAGGGGCCAGCTCCCACAAAGGTGATAGATTGTGGAGGATCCTTCTATCTCTGTCTCTTGTCCCCTCACAGGCGAGATGATGCCTATTGGCCAGAAGCCAAGCGGGCCGCCCTGGATGAGCGCTACCATTCTGACTTTAACCGCCAGGACCGCTTCCACGACTTTGACCACAGGGACCGCGGTCGCTACCCCGACCACTCGGTGGACAGGTCAGTTGGGCCCCTGCTGAGCGTGCAGGTTTTCTTTTTCCTGGCTCATTCTCTGACTGAGAACAAGGACTCCTGGGCTCTCTGAGCCCACTCTGTTCATCAGGTGTATGCTGAGTCAGGCCTGCAGGTCTCCTGCCTCCAGTTGGGGAATTGATGCTTTTCATTGGGGACCTGATGGTCCTTTCTTTGTGAACAAGCCAATTCCTCCCCTTACGGTTTGATTTAAATTACCTTTTCAGGAGAGAAGGTTCAAGGTCAATGATGGGAGAACGAGAAGGACAGGTAAGTCCAAAGCTACAGTGGTAGCCACAGAATTTCCCGTAGAATGGGTTCTTTTCCCTTCAGCGTGCCTTCTTTCTGCGTTTTCCTTGAGTGAGAGACAAAATGAGGAGAGAGAAAAATACAGCACTAGAAAAGTCTAGGTGTGTGGGATGGAAATTTGGGATTATTTGGGGTTAGTCTTGGCTGTCAGTCCGAACAGTTACTCTGAAGCTGTTTTTAGCCTTGACCCCGGGGTTCTGTGTCCCACACTCACCACACACGTGCAGAAGTGCCAGGGAACCTTGGGGTGTGACCTGGCTCTGCTGGGAAGTGTCTAGTGAGCCGCACAGCTGACTCAGACAGGTGCATCTGGGAAGGCTGTGGTTACTGTGTCTGTCCTGGAGTGCCTGCCCTCTTTGGAAAGTAAGGACATCGTTCATCACCCCAGAGCCCCACTTAGCCTTGGAAAACAACTAGGTCTCTGATCTGTGCTCGTTCTCCTTGGGGGGCTAGCACGTTAGAACAATAAGCTTCATTTTCTCTTTCCATCTTACATTGAGACTGAGACTTTCCAGGAGAGCCTTGGACCTCTAGTGACTTTCCCTATAAACTGGGGGGCGGCATGTTGCTGTGTGGAAGATGCCTCCTGTCTGAGGACTCCACTCATGAGCCCTTTCTCCTCTTGCCAGCATTTCCAGACTCCAGCATAAGCTTCCCATTTCTCTCCCCCTTGGTTCCTTAATGTAGCTGAGCATAGCCAAGTACTCAGCTCTGTCATGGGATCCTTAGGAATTCCATCAGCCTCATGGGGTTCCTTTTTCCCTGCTCCTGGAGGCAAATTATATGCGGCAAAACCTAGAACTAGTCCTGTGGATTTTCTCTGGTGGAGGAGCATACACCAATGGTTCCATGTCCAGGCTCCAGAATCAGACAGAACTGGGGTCACACCTTGGTGTCACCCCTTCCTGCTGAGCCTGTCTCCCCAGCAGTGAAATGAGGGTAATACTCCTCCTACAGAGGTTGGGGTGGTGGGGAGTTTACATGAGGTGGGCATGTGTCTGTACAAACGTGTTTATCGTTGCCAGCTACCTTTTTTTTTTATTTTTTTTTTTTAATAGAGACAGATCTCACTATGTTGCCCAGGCCAGTTTTGAACTCCTGAGCTCAAGTGATCCTCCTGCCTCGGTCTCCCAAAGTGTTAGAATTACACATGTAAGCTAGCATGCCTGGCCACCAGCTACTTTCATGCAGGTGTCAGATACGCTCTCCTAATAGTGGAAGGCAGTTTGATCCTTTCTCCTCACACAGTCATAAATGAGTCATCACAGTTACCCCAAAGGCAAATGATGATCTCTCCCTACAGAGAAAACTAGCACAGAACTTATGGGCCTTGTTGAACTGTTACCTGGGTTGGTTGGACAGAAAAATGTTGGTTCAATTTTCAAATACTAAGGAGAGCTTATTTCAGGAGGCCCTTTTTTTACTTTGTTGAGGGGAGGCGTCAGAGCACATGCTGGGGAGAATTGGCCAGGGAAGCAGGCAGTGGTAATGTGGGACATCTTGCATATGGTGGAGCATGCTGCCATCCTTGCCTTCGCCCTGGCAGAGCTCTCTCTCCATTGAATGTGGAGGTGAACTTGGACATGTACGATGACCAAGCTGCATCAAGGAGGTTTCCTTACCAGGACTCTCTTCTAGTTTCCGTTCACCTACAATATGGTCATGGGGCAAAAGCCCCAGAGGCCACATACGTATTTGTGGAAAGAGAAAGAACAGGACTGTGGAGCCAAAGCTCCCTCACTAGCTTTTGTGAAAGTCAGGCTGGAAAGTGCTTCCAGCCACAGAAATAGGCTGTGGGTGTAAATATTAACCTTGGCCATCAAAAAAGTAGGCATAGTGTGTGACTCGCCCTCTCTTGGTCTTCCCTGAAATAGCAGGGTCAAGAACTCCTGGTCTGTGTTAGCCATGTGGTTTACAAAAACAATGACACAGAGGAGGGAATAGTGGGACTGGCCAAGTGGATGACCAGCCATTTATCTCTTAGTGTCCTGTGCCAAGACGTAAGGTCCTGGACCAGGCACCCAGCAGAAACTTCTGAGAAACTTGACTGTGAGGAAGGATGCTTGCTTGCCTAGCAATTGGTTGGATGAGGGGCTCCGTTTGATACTTCCTTCACTGTGGAAGGAAGAAATGTGTAAAAATTATTTCCGGAATATGCACACATTAAAGCTTTATAAACCTGACCTTCCCTTAGTAGAAGACAATAAGAGAGTACTGCTGGCTCTGGGCACTAACCATTTGAGCTGTGGGACCCAGGGAATCTCTCGCAAGCATCATCTTTAGTGGGTGACCCCTGGTGGCCCTCCTGGCTCTGGTGGCGCCGTGGGTACCTGCCTTGGAGATTCCTTGGCACTAGTACCTTTTGTGCACCAGGCTATGAGCCTATAGCACAGGGCCTCTGGCCTGCAGATTTCAGGGAGGCAGCTATGTCATGTGAACCAGTATGGCCTGCCAGCACTTCTGTCCAGAGTGACTGTCGTTGTCATTGTTAGCGTGTTGCCTGAAAAGCCTTGGGGTCTGGGGGCTGACAGTGAAGGTTTTTTTCCTCCTGGCCCTGTGATTTCCAGCATTACCCAGAACGCCATGGAGGACCAGAGCGCCACGGCCGGGACTCCCGTGATGGCTGGGGGGGCTATGGCTCCGACAAGAGGATGAGTGAGGGCCGGGGGCTGCCTCCTCCCCCCAGGTTTGTGTCCCACACCCCACAGTACCTGTCCCTGGCCTCACAGAGTCAGCTGACCGGATAGGTCTGTCCCACCCAGGGGCCCCCAAGCCTCTGGGATGTGGGCACAGGGTGGGAAAAACACAGGGATTCATCCTCCAGAAGCCACCACATTTATTAGCACGAGAGCCAGAGATGGGGGCAATCCAAATCAGAGATGTCTCTTTTTCAAGGGGCAGACGTGACTGGGGGGACCATGGCCGAAGAGAGGATGACCGGGCATGGCAGGGCACGGCTGACGGTGGCATGATGGACAGGGATCACAAGAGGTGGCAAGGTGAGGAGCAGCTCTGGGCTGGGACCAGGTTGTGCTGGGAAGTGATGGAAAGATGGAGGCCACGCCTTCTCTCACTCCTCAGGTGAGCACAGGAGGTGCTCTGCCCTCAGTGCTGGAATGAGGAGTGAAAAGCACTTTAGACACCACCTACTCTCTGGTGGTCTGGCCCAGGAGTTGGACAGTGGGCGTTCCCGAGTCCTCTCTGCTGGGAGGACACTGGGCGTCTGTGGTCACCGTGCCGAGGTGTCCTCCTGGGACCTGCTAGTTCCGGGTACCTGGGGGCCTCACCAAAGGGAGTGCAGTGGGCTAAATGTGCCGTGGGTTCCACGCCATGTGCACAGGTTCCTAAAGCACATCTGTCTTCCAGGTGGTGAGAGAAGCATGTCTGGTCACTCGGGGCCTGGCCACATGATGAACCGAGGAGGGATGTCAGGGTAAGGCATGCCGGGGCGGCTCCCCTTTCCCCTGCTTTGCATATTGGCCTACCTTGGAGGACGCTTAACAACCAGTCCTTCCAGCTAACGCCCCCTCCCCCAAGTGTGAAGTGAGGCCAGGCATGGGGTACTGTGGAGCCTGCCGCCACTCAGGAGGGGAAGGCATCAGGAAGGGGCCTTGCCTGCAAGCAACGTCCAGGGAAGCTGTGCAGGCTGGGATGGGCCAGGGGAGCAGGAGGATTTCAGTCAAACCAATGTGAATTTGTTCCTAGGCGCGGCAGCTTTGCCCCAGGTGGGGCCTCCCGGGGCCACCCCATCCCACACGGTGGCATGCAAGGCGGGTTTGGAGGCCAGAGCCGGGGGAGCAGGCCCAGCGACGCCCGCTTCACTCGCCGCTACTGAGTACTTGGAATCCTGTGTCCTGTCACGTGGCAACAAGGCTATGTTCTGTTAGGAGTTATCTTAAACTGTGTAAAAATATTTTTTTTTTAATCTGCTGCCATATTGTAGCTCAATACAATGTGAATTTTGTTTTTCGTTTTGGGGTTGTTTTTTTTTTTTTTGTAATAAATGTGTTTCCGTTCACATACCCTTTATTTAAAGTGTTACTTCTTTATTTCTGCCTCTTTAAATGAAATGAAATTATACTTAGTGTCTTTTAGTTGTATTGATATACACTGACTGTTCCTTTTATTATTTTTCTTCTTTTTTTTTTTTTTTTTTGGAGATGGAGTCTCGCTCTGCCACCCAAGCCTGGAGTGTTGGCACAATCGCGGCTTACTGCAAACTCCACCTCCCGGGTTCAAGTGATTCTCCTGCCTCGGCCTCCTGAGTAGCTGGGACTACAGGCACCTGCCACCACGCCCAGCTAATTTTTGTATTTTTAGTAGAGTGGGGGTTTTGTCATATTGGTCAGGCTGGTCTTGAACTCCTGACCCTCGTGACCTGCCCACCTCGACCTCTCAAAGTGGTGGGATTACAGGCATGAGCCACCGTGCCTGGCCAACTCTGTTAATTTCTAAGTATGTATGAAACGCATGTGATAGAAAACCTCCAGGAAGGCATCCGGGTGTGGAAGAGGCTTTCCAGTGAGACGATGATTTTCGCATAATGGGCCTGTGCGGTGCAGGTTTTGCCTGGCTTCTCAGGTCAGCGAGCTGTCCGCTCCTTTAATGTTAGCACAGACGGGGCTGCTCTGCTCTTTGGTGCTGGGTGACATCCCTGTCAGGGTGTGGGAGTCTCACACCCTGTTGATGGACACTGGCAGATGCTTCCCCCACGGATCACACTCAAACCAAGCCTGTGAAGATTTCCAGCTGCCACTCTCCACGCTGACTTGCCAGAGCTCAGTCACCATCATCGTGTGGATGCTTCCGCATTACCTTTTTACTCAGAGGACAAACTATTTTCACAGCAGAGTCGGGGGTGGAAGCAGTGAAGGCTGAAGGTCCTCAGCAGCATCTCAGGCCTGCGGTGTGCTTGTGCGCGGGCGCGGCCCCCTTGTGCCAGGATAGGGGCTCTGACCAGCCCAGGGCTGGCCTCTGCGTCGGCCGGAAGGGACAAGCTCAACACCAACCCTCCACGTACCAATAGCAGGCTGGAGCCACGGCACCTGGGATCCGGCACCTGTCCTAATCCAGGAAGCCGGACCAGACTTGGGACATACCTCAAACTGTGAAGCGGGTGCCTCCCACATTTTGTAGGCCTCACTAGTGGAAAGTGAGGAGGAAGCAACGTCCAGCAGACAGGAAGACGGCGGAGCCCTGGTTGACGCTCTAGGGTCCCTTCAGCTGTAAAGGACAGGTGACCCCACCAATACCAGTGGTGGCTTAGATGATAAAGGGGGGCCCTTCCCTGCCTTAACGGGAAGTCTGTATGTAGTCAGTTCCCGGGATTCACTGCAGCCCACCTCAGGCTCCGTGTCTCTGAGGATTTTGGGGCTCTCATGGATGACGGATGGCTGAAAGAGTTCCAAAAATCCTATCTACCCACAGTGCGGGCATCATCGGGGCCTATCCAGCAGGACAAGGAAGGGCAGGAACAGGGACTTGCACTCACAGGCCTCTTGGCAAACTCACCCCTGAGGCTCCTCAGCCGGAACTCGGTCCTGTGCTCGCCTTTCTTGCGACCCGTCCCTGGCGAAGACGGAATGTATCCTTTCAGAAGGGATGTGACATCCAGGAAGGAACCCAGTGGTAACCCCCAGCAGCCATATTCTCAGCCTTCCCCTCATACCTTTTTTTTTTTTTTTAAACACACAAGCAGTTCACATTGTACTTTTTTTTGTTTTGTTTTGTTTTGGTTTTTGTTTTTTGAGATGGAGTCTTCCTCTGTCTCCCAGGCTGGAGTGCAGTGGTGCAATCTTGGCTCACTGCAACCTCTTTGTCTCCTGGGTTCAAGCAATTCTCCTACCTCAGCCTCCTGAGCAGCTGGGACTACAGGCGCCTGCCACCACGCCCGGCTAATTTTTGCATTTTTAGTAGAGACGGGTTTTCACCACATTGAGCAGGCTGGTCTCAAATTCCTGACCTCAGGTGATCTGCCCACCTCAGCCTCCCAAGGCGCTGGGATTACAGGTGTGAGCCACCGCACTGGGTTCCAATTTTTTTAGCCATATGCAGTTGTGCATGCCAGTAATCAATCCCAGCTACTTGGAAGGTCAAGGCAGGAAGATTGTTTAAGGCCAAGAGTTCACGTCCAGCCTAGACAGTAGAGCAAGCCCCCATTTCTTTCGTTGTTTGTGGGGGGGCGTGTCTGTGGTTTGTTTTTTGTTTTTTGAGACGGAGTCTCGCTTTGTCGCCCAGGCTGGAGTGAGTGGCGCGATCTCGGCTCACTGCAAGCTCCGCCCCCCGGGTTCCCGCCATTCTCCTGCCTCAGCCTCCCGAGTAGCTGGGACCACAGGCGCCGCCACCGTGCCCGGCTAGTTTTTTTTTTGTATTTTTCAGTAGAGATGGGGTTTCACGGTGTTAGCCAGGATGGTCTCGATCTCCTGACCTCGTGATCCTCCCGTCTCGGCCTCCCAAAGTGCTGGGATTATAGGCGTGAGCCACCGCGCCCAGCCTTAGGGGGTATTTTTTGAAATAAATGACAGGCTGTGTGCGGTGGCTCCCGCCTGTAATCCCAGCACTTTGGGAGGCCGAGGTGGGTGGATCATCTGAGGTCAGGATTTTGAGGCCAGCCTGGCCAACATGGCGAAACACTGACTACTAAAAACACAAAAATTAGCTGGGTGTGGTGGTGCACGCCTCTAGTCCCAGCTACTCAGGAGGCTGAGGCAGAATAATCACTTGAACCCAGGAGGTGGAGGTGGCAGTGAGCCAAGATTGCACCACCACACTCCAGTCTGGGCAACAGAGCAAGACTTAGTCTCAAAAAAAAAAAAGAAAAAAGAAATGACAGATTCCACTAGCTGAGAGATGAGGTCTGTGAACATCTGGGGCATGTCCTACAGACTCCTTTTTTTTTTTTTTTTTTTTTTTGAGATGGAGTCTCGCTCTGTCGCCCAGACTGGAGTTTAGTGGCGCAATCTCGGCTCACTGCAAGCTCCACCTCCCAGGTTCAAGCTGTTCTGCCTCAGCTTCCCGAGTAGCTGGGACTACAGGTGCCCGCTACCACACCCAGCTAATTTTTTTGTATTTTTAGTAGAGACGGGGTTTCACTGTGTTAGCCAGGATCAGTCTTGATCTCTGCAACCTCGTGATCCAGCCCGCCTTGGCCTCCCAAAGTGCTAGGATTACAGGCATGAGCCACTGCTGTTGGGCTCCCGCTTTTAACTCTCACTACATGCAACTCTGCCTTCCTCCCAGGAGTGTCGTGTTAGCCCCAGTTGACAGAAGAGAGAGAGAGGCTAGGGGCTGGGTGGACACTGCCTGCCAAGAAACCAAATGCACATAATAATTGTAAACCCCAACTGTGTAACCTACGCTTGGATCTACAAAGTCAGAATCCATGGCCGTTATGCCAGTTCTCTAGGGCCAAGGTAACAGAATTGCTACAAGCTTTTTTTGTGTGTGTGTCTCCTATGCTTCCCGATTTGGAGTGCAGTGGTGCAATCATAGCTCACTGCATTTGTTTGGTGGTGGTCTCTGTTAGTTGCTTGTGTATTACAACTTTTTTGCCTTGCCACCACCACCATTTTTTTTTTTTTTAAGTTTGTCTATACTATTGTATATTGGGCGATTTTTGTTGTGTTGTTTATTTCCTGCGTTTCCACATTCTTCATCTTCTGCAATCTCGGCTCACTGCAAGCTCCACCTCCCAGGTTCACGTCATTCTGCCTCAGCTTCCTGAGTAGCTGGGACTACAGGTGCCCGCCACCACACCCAGCTAAGTTTTTTTGTATTTTTAGTAGAGACGGGGTTTCACTGTGTTAGCCAGGATGGTCTCGATCTCCTGACCTCGTGATCCGCCCGCCTTGGCCTCCCAAAGTGCTAGGATTACAGGCATGAGCCACTGCGCCTGGCCCAGACTCCCTTTTAACTCTCCTTTACGTGGCCTCATACCTTCCTCCCAGGTGTCATTATTAGCCCCAGTTGACAGAAGAGAAGACTGAGGGCACAGATTGGACACTACCTGTAAGAACCAAATGCCCACAGCAATAATTGTAAACCCCAACTGTGTAACCTACATGGATCTACAAAGTCAGAATCCATGGCCGTTATGCCAGTTCTCTAGGGCCAAGGTAACAAATTGCTACAAGCTTTTTGTGTGTGTGTGTCTCCTGTCGCCCCGGTTGGAGTGCAGTGGTGCAATCATAGCTCACTGCAGTCTCCATTTCCTGGGCTCAAGTGATCCTCCTACCTCAGCCTGCCCAGTAGCTGGGACTACAGATGGGTGACACCACATCTGGCTAATTTTTGTATCTTTTGTAGAGATGGGGTTTCATCACACCCAGGCTGGTCTTGAATTCCTGGGCTCAAGCGATCCACCCGCCTTGACCTCCCCAAAGTGCTAGGATTCCAGGTACGAGGCAACACAGGCAGCCCAGTCTCCTAGGCAGGAGAGATGCCTCGGAGTGCTTCTCCCTGGCCACAGTCTTGAGTCATTTGCATGGGATGTTCTACTTCTTACGCCCAGGCAGCACCCTTTGTCATCCTTCTGCTACACAGGGAAGGACAGGGATTCGGCCCTGCTGTCAGCCAGGCACTGAGCTGTACCTGCCCTTCCCCACCGTCCTCAGTGTAACCCTGGGAGGCTGTACAACCCCATTTTGCAGACAGAAAAACTGAGGCCTAGCAGGGTGAACTGACGAGCGAGGACAACCAGCTGGCAATGGAAAAGATCCAAGCTTCGAACCACCCATTCATTCAACTCCCATTTCCACAGCCCCCCTCTCAAGCAGGGTCCCCGGCACTGACCAGATGTGTTCACACAACAGACCCAATCGGTGCCTGCCCTCAAGGTGGGCACACATGCACGTGGTGAGCTTATGAAGTGCAGCTTAGGCCAGCTGCGGTGACTCATGCCTGTAATCCCAGCACTTTGGGAGGCTGAGGCAGGCAGATCACAAGGTCAGGAGTTCAAGACCACCCTGGCCAACATGGTGAAACCCCGCTTCTATTAAAAATAGAAAAAATTAGCCAGGTGTGGTGGTGTGCACCTGTAATCCCAGCTACTCAGGAGGCTGAGGCAGGAGAATCGCTTGAACCCAGGAGGCGGAGGTTGCAGTGAGCCGAGATCGTGCCACTGCACTTCAGCCTGGACAACAGATCAAAACTCCATCGTGAAAAAATTAAAAAGGCCAGGTGCAGTGGCTCATGCCTGTAATCCCAGCACTTTGGGGCCCGGTTGGAGTGCAGTGGTGACCATAGCTCACTGCAGCCCCATTTCCTGGGCTCAAGTGATCCTCCTACCTCAGCCTGCCCAGTAGCTGGGACTACAGATGGGTGACACCACATCTGGCTAATTTTTGTATCTTTTGTAGAGATGGGGTTTCATCACACCCAGGCTGGTCTTGAATTCCTGGGCTCAAGCGATCCACCCGCCTTGACCTCCCCAAAGTGCTAGGATTCCAGGCACGACAGGCAACACAGGCAGCCCAGTCCTCAGGCAGGAGAGATGCCTCGAGTGCTTCTCCTGGCCACAGTCTTGAGTCATTTGCATGGGATGTTCTACTTACGCCAGGCAGCACCCTTTGTCATCCTTCTGCTACACAGGAAGGACAGGGATTCGCCTCAAGGTCAGCCAGGCACTGAGCTGTACCTGCCCTTCCCCACCGTCCTCAGTGTAACCCTGGGAGGCTGTACAACCCCATTTTGCAGACAGAAAACTGAGGCCTAGCAGGGTGAACTGACTAGCAGGACAACCAGCTGGCAATGGGAAAAGATCCAAGCTTCAACCACCGATTTCATTCAACTCCCATTTCCACAGCCCTCTCCCTCAAGCAGGTCCTCGGCACTGACCAGATGTGTTCACACAACAGACCCAATCGGTGCCTGCCCTCAAGGTGGGCACACATGCACGTGGTGAGCTTAAGAAGTGCAGCTTAGCTGCTGCGGTGACTCATGCCTGTAATCCCAGCACTTTGGGAGGCTGAGGCAGGCAGATCACAAGGTCAGAGTTCAAGACCACCCTGGCCAACATGGTGAAACTCCCCGCTTCTATTAAAAATAGAAAAATTAGCTGGTGGGCGTGGTGGTGTGCATCTCCGTAATCCCAGCCACCAGGCTGAGGCAGGAGATCACACCCCAGGAGGCGGAGGTTGCAGTGAGCCGAGATGGTCGTGCCACTGCACTTCCAGCCTGGACAACAGATCAAAACTCCATCGTGAAAAATTTAAAAGGCCAGGTGCAGTGGCTCATGCCTGTAATCCCAGCACTTTGGGAGGCTGAGGCAGGCGGATCACTTGAGGTCAGGAGGTTGAGACCAGCCTGGCCAACATGGTAAAACCCCATCTCTACTAAAAAGACAAAAATTAGCCGGGAGTGGTGACGCGTGCCTATAATCCCAGATACTCAGGAGGCTGAGGCAGGAAAATCGCTTGAACCCAGGAGGTAGAGGTTGCAGTGAGCCAAGATCACACCATTACACTCCAGCCTGGGGGAGAAGAGCGAGACTCCATCTCAGAAAAAAAGAAGTGCAGCTTGATGGTACAGGTTGCCCTGGCCACAGAAGGAATGGAGGCATTTCCTGGATG